TTCTGGCCGTAATGGTTAGCGAGTTGCGTGACGGCTCAAATATGGGGGACTGCCAAACAGTGGCTTTCTGAAAAGTCATTGTGTTATAAATATTTATCTCTAAAACACGTTATGGCGCACAAGCGTTGCTCTCTTTCCGTACGAAAAGATGAATCAGTTGGCTTATTGTCTTCCGGTTACAATAGTTTCCCGGGAGGTTTTCTTTGTTCCGGATGGTAGAACTCTTTACACATGCATGTAGACTACTTCGCAGCCGTCGTTTTTGAAACGCAAAGAAGGAAAGCAAGAGAAACGTCCAGTTACCTCGCGATTCTATTCGCACGTTCGTTGGTAAAAGAGAAATACAAGAAAATAGAAGGCGTTGAACAGTCTAGAACTCCCTCTCCTGCTATTATTATGTCGGATACGCCTTTCCGGTTTTTGCGTAATCGCCGTCACATGGCGCAAACGTAAACGATATAGTACGTGACGATCAAGTACAGCATGGAGGTTTGTGTGGACTGTGTTTTTTAGTGATTGTGAAATCCTCACAAAGTAGTCAGGTGTATTTGAGACAAACTACTTCTTTCTCAAGGGGTGAGTTTACTTCCTTTGTCGACGAATGGAAATTGTGGAATCTCAAGGGAATCTGAAAAAGCTGAATGCTGCTGAAAGGAAGTGATTGCTATTCAAATTCCTTGCATGTCACGTCATTAGCAAGTGGTTATTACAGCCCGTTCATNGCGAGTTGCGTGACGGCTCAAATATGGGGGACTGCCAAACAGTGGCTTTCTGAAAAGTCATTGTGTTATAAATATTTATCTCTAAAACACGTTATGGCGCACAAGCGTTGCTCTCTTTCCGTACGAAAAGATGAATCAGTTGGCTTATTGTCTTCCGGTTACAATAGTTTCCCGGGAGGTTTTCTTTGTTCCGGATGGTAGAACTCTTTACACATGCATGTAGACTACTTCGCAGCCGTCGTTTTTGAAACGCAAAGAAGGAAAGCAAGAGAAACGTCCAGTTACCTCGCGATTCTATTCGCGCGTTCAGTGGTAAAAGAGAAATACAAGAAAATAGAAGGCTTTGAACAGTCTAGAACTCCATCTCCTGTTGCAATAATCGGATATTCGCAGGCTTAATTAGTTCCTATTATTATGTCGGTTACGCCTTTCCGGTTTTTGCGTAATCGCCGTCACATGGCGCAAACGTAAACAATATAGTACGTGACGATCGAGTACAGCATGGAGGGTTGTGTGGACTGTGTTTTTTAGTGATTGTGAAATCCTCACAAAGTAGTCAGGTGTATTTGAGATAAACTACTTCTTTCTCAAGGGGTGAGTTTACTTCCTTCGTCGACGTATGGAAATTGTGGAATCTCAAGGGAATCTGAAAAAGCTGAATGCCGCTGAAAGGAAGTGATTGCTATTCAAATTCCTTGCATGTCACGTCATTAGCAAGTGGTTATTACAGCCCGTTCATTTAATCTCAGTTGACACAAAGCTGCAGAGATTGAGAAGGAAAGCGAGAGGTAGAATCCCTTCAACGTTTTACGCCAGTTTGAGGAGTCCCAGGAATCCATCGTAAAGAGGTAAGCTACCTTGGAGGAAAGGGAAGGTTATGATAGAATGAGTACGTAAGACACAATGTCATGTTTCGTATCTCTGCACTTTCTGTCTGAAGATGCTGCTTCACTGCATGCTGTGTGTCCATGATGTTGTTTGATGTCCAAACTTTGTATGGATTAGCTGCTTCCTTGTTTCGAACCGGTCATTATAATCGTAAAAAAAAATACGCAGACAGTGATAACAGATTTTCTACTGCTTTACTCCTGTAGTTTTTGTTTCTTTGCGGTGTGGACGACTCGTGGACCAACAGGTCTAAATTGTCTCTCAAATTTGCCCCAACGAACGAGTTGCAAAAATAAGGTAAACGAAAGAAGGCATACTGTGTTGATATTCCGCAATACTTTCATGGGATTGATGTTTGGGGTTACCACAAATTGTCTCATACTTCTCGCTTCTCTTCATTAGTATCTGCTTTACGTTTCCCCTGGCGTCTTTCAGACAGTGAACTCGCATACATGCAGTGAAACATGCAATACAGCTCACTTTGAAACAAAATACCTTACTCTCTTGTAGTTCAATAGTTAACTACATATTTTTTACCCAGTACAGCATTTTGCCATCATTTCAGTTATACCCCCACTTTCCCCGTAAAAGATACTAGAGATCGCGTGTCAATTCTTGTCGGGTATAGGGCATCGTTTTCCAGGGCTGTTAAAGGACACTGCCCTGCATTATTTCGTCAGAGCATTAACTATATTTCTCATTGTTGAGACTATTTCAATTACTATTAAGAATAATAATAGTATAGCTCTGTAAATTATAGTTGACCACATTTCTAATAAGATATCTACAAATTCAAGCTTTTTTTTTTTGCTTTTCCATGGGCTCCTCTGTCACTCATATTGCAAGAATCAGCTTAAATGTAAAATAAAAAAAATTAAAACAATTTATTCAAGTTGAAGCTGGCAGAGCTAAAATGATGACTAAGTACGCTTGCTGTTCGGTACACGAAATGCACCCAGCATAGCAAGATGAAGGCGTTTAAGTGAATTGCTGAAGGAACAAGAAGCTACGACGGACTTTGACATCAGAACCTATGTGCATGCGTACCGCCTTATTATAATATGCCTTTTGAGGCTTCTGTGTACATATATAGTGGTCTAGACAATTATTTTTCGGTTTCAATCAATCGAGGAAAAAATGTCTTTCGTTTTGAATTGTTGAAGTGTTCATCAGTGGGGATGATGTAGTGCCCCTAACAGACGTTTACGTTAGTCTTGTTTTGTGGCAAAAGTTGTTTTCTGAGGTTTATTGCCCCGAAAGGTAATCTTATTTTTGTGGCTTTAAGTTAAAGAGAACTTTGAATTCCTCTCATCTTTGAAAGATGGACTAATTCCGCAGTCTTAATTAAAGTTAACCAGACCTTAGTCATGTAGGAACGTCCAATTTGCTTCCTTCCTGGGTCCTTTCGCGAAGTGATTTGTTTTAATTTTTCTTTTTTAGTAGTTTAACGTGAACTTTGAGACAATGTCAAGAATGCTTTGGTCTTTTCTGTTCCTCGCCGTTATCATGGTGGTGGACCGAACAGAAGGGTGGAGGAGGCGACGAAGACGAAGGTGCCCAGTAACAAATTGCGCTGTCGATAACTGGTCCACGTGGAGTCCTTGCACCCAGCCCTGCGGTACTGGAGGGACACAGAGGCGTCAACGGAAAGTGATCCGAGGAGCGACATGCGGTGGATCCTGTTCGTTTGCACTCGTGGATAGCCAACCTTGTAATTTGGGATGCTCTAATGGCGGAACTCCGCTTCCTGGAAGATGTAACTGTAAAACTGGATACAGCGGAAAGTGCTGCACTGGGGGTAAATATGACGTATATCTCGTTTTAATCTTCGTTCATTCGTTGGTTCCTAAACTTCGTTAGTTAAGTTCTTTCTTAAGTTCATCCGTTCCCTAGTGCCTAAGCTCGTTCCTTAAGGTTTGATTTTCATTTGATCGCTACGATCGCTGCGATCGGCGACCTTAAGAGCAGGAATGGAGGAACGGCGAAATGACGGAACGGCGGAAAATCACCCGAAATCTTAAAAGACGGAATGACGGAACGACAAAAAGTTGTTGAGTGAATTAGTGTTTATTAATTTCGTCCATTTCCAAGTTCGTTCCTTAGTTCGTTCTTTCCTACCTTCTTCCGTTTCGAAGTTGGTGCGTTGCCGAGTTCCAAAGTTCCCTCGTTCCTCAGGGACCTCAGGGACCGCGGAGACCATTTTTAAGTCGTAAGGCTAAAACCTCTGTCCAATGCAAACAAGCACTAGCAATCACTGTTCCTCCGTTTTAGTACTTTCAAGTAGTACAACTCATGCATTGTCCATGACATCTGGAGCCCTTAGAGTTCAACCCAAGCAAAAAAGTGATAGGACAGCCACTCCCCTTCAGTGTTCCCTGTTCCATAAGTTCATTCTTTCTTGCTTTCATTTGTTGCTAAGTTCCTTCGGTCCTTCGGCTTCCCTGTGGTTTTCTCGCGTGTACATTTATTATTATCATTTTCTTTCTTTCTGTTTTAGTGGATGGAGGTTGGTCTACTTGGAGTTCATGGAACACATGTAGTAAAAACTGTGGAACTGGTCAACAAGAACGCAGACGAAGCTGTACAAAACCGTCGCCTAGCAACGGTGGTAAAACTTGCGTTGGATCATCCCGAGACGATCGAGCGTGCAACACGCGCAACTGTCCAGGTGACGACCTAAGGAGTCAAACATCTTTGTTTTGAGAAACAATTTTGTTTGTCTTTTTTTTGTTGGTCTCGAGTGCTTAAGGATATCTGTGAGCCGGGGCCTGTTAACTTCACTTCGTTGTAATACGTACCGTCTCAATCAATAGTATCTGCGGCAATAGATGCTAAATAATTATTGACCTCGCTGTTTCGTAAAAGCGCGCTTCCAAAGGCACAAACTTGATCAGTGAGCAGTTAGAAAACCGATGATTTTTTTTTTCTCTCTCTTTTCAAATACCGCATGTGATAGTTATTTTTTTTTCGATCTCGTTTTCTTCTTCTGGGTAAGGTCTACTTCACTTTTTCTCCCAGCTGATTTTTTTTAGTTCCTTCCCTGTTGTTTTCCTTTTTTTCCTGTACCCACCGCCGTTGTTGTCTATTTTCTTGCCTTCTTTTAAAGTCTACTCTTCACTTTTGCTCGAAGTTGATTAACTTTTTGTTTTGTGGTTACAATACAGTACACGGTGGTTGGTCAAGTTGGAGTGAATGGAGTTCATGCACTCAGTCCTGTGATACCGGTTCTCAAGAACGTTCTCGAACCTGTACCAGTCCCCCTCCACGTTATGGCGGGAACTTTTGCCTTGGAAACCCGCGGGAAAAAC